GCCCCGCTGCCCGGGTAGCCGCGATTCCGCGTGCCCCCGTCACGGCGCAGCCCGTGCCCCGGGGTTCCGTCCCCGCGGGGCTGTTGGACCTTAGGGAGCCGCCGGGTCTCGGTGACGAGCGGTGACAAGGCAGCCCAGCGCCGGCGAGGAGGGCGCGAGGAGCGGAGCAACCCCTAGATGCTCCTTGGTTCCTCTGGAACAGGCTGCTCCGGGTGCACGGGTACACAGCATCCTCTCCCATGCATTTTGAAGCTTATTTGTTCCTTTCCATCACTTTACTGTCACTGGTAAAGTCTTCTTGACCAAACGTTTTGCTCAGTGTGACCTGGAAGTCCATTCAGAACATGCAAATTAATCTTTGGGTATTAATGATGCCCACATTCTTAATACTGCAAAGTCAAAGAAAACTCATTGCCTTTGAAGCAGAGATGCTGAGAGTCCTTTAGGTACTTTCATAAAAAACAAGGAAAGGTTTTCCACATTCTGAATAGCTTATGCAGATTGAAAACTTGTCCATACACCAGGTAGGTTTCTTATTAAACACCTTTAATGTAATAAGTATCTGTAAGAAATACACAAAGTGTGTTCGTCACTGCTACATATGTGCTACTCATGGCTTGCAGCTTCCTAAGTGGTTTTCTGTCTGACATTCAGTAAACAGGCACACAAATGGACCCGATATCCTTCAAAGTCCACAAAACCCAGATAATTATGAGCATCGCAGCCCGTGGGTGGGAGCCTGGTTTTCCTGTCACTCCTGCTTCCTATTTCTCTGCCCTGACACTGCTTGTAGCAAAGAGTTAATTGCTGAAGTTGATAAAAGGCAGCAGCAATCCCGGGGCTTTTAACTTGTCACTCTGGCCCCTCTGTCGCGTTTGGGGGAGCTTTGCTCTCTGCAGGCGGGATGAGGGAGGAGAGGGACCCTCCGGGGCCATTCCTGACACTCCGTGTTTCAGTCTCCGTGCAAGGCTGCTCCCCCTCGCCCCGAGATAGGGGGTCCTTATTTAGAAGTGTCAGCTTGCAAGACAGCTCTTATCTCCCAGATGAACCTGCTGGGAGCCGGCGCTCACTTACAAAGACTTCCAGAGCCTTCTGTATCTGTGCAAACGGTCTGTCTAAGTCAACTGTTTAAAAAACTCATTAGTAGCACCTCTGTTCTTTAAATTGGCCACGGCGTATGTTTAACTCGGCTGTGACAGACAAAACCAAAGGCTCAGCAAAGAAGGGCTCTTAAGTTCTGAGGAGTTTATTTAACAAAGAGTTGTGTTGCGAGAGGCCGTTCAAAGAAATACGGGGATAGTCTGTGACCTTTGCGTTCGGCAAGGCAGCCTGTGGTGGGATGGCAGAGCGGATGCCTTGTTAATGATTTAATGCGAGCTCTGTGTTTTGGAGGATGGCAGTGGACACCACGGGGAATTTGCGGTTTGTTTTTTAGCAATGTGGATAAATCATCTGCATTGAACCCTAGGATATTTCATGGAACTGTGACAAAGTCCCTGCCCTATTTTTTTTTTCTCTCCTCTGGCTATGAGACGTCATTTCTAAAGCTCGTAAGTCAGACCATCTGTGCCCTTTTTAGTTAGGAAACACTAGTAATCAAATAATGCTATTAATGGAAAACAAATATCAGACAAAGCCTTTTCAACCTTCAGAGTTTTAAATGTTCCGTTGTGTTTTCAAAATGCAGTCTGTTCGAAAGACATTGCCATTGCAGAGACCACCTGGCAGCAGATTCTGTAGACAGGGCTGCAGTTTGCAAGACAAGGCATCGAGGAGGAATAAAAATAGGAAATCTCGCTATGTTTTTTCTTCAGAGCCTTGGGGAATAGAAATAATCACGGCACAAATGCCAGGGCGCAGCTGAATCTCGGTATGAGCGCCTGAGCACTCGGCTCAGCCGGCACCGGGTCTGAAGGGGAAATCTCTTTGTGGTTGTTGGTGTCCTTTACGAGCACAGGGAGGCAATGCGCCTTCATCAACCCCACGGCTCTCTCCGCGACTGTGATTGTTGCAGGCTTCAAGCATGAGGAAGAGCACAATTATCCTCAGAGCTGTTTGTTTTTCCCCCCGTGATTGCCTTATTTCAGTCCCAAATTTAATCCAGTGTAGAAAACTTTCCATGTTTTGTTAGACCCCAGAAATCAGCCGTGTTTTCTTGCTCGGGGATTTGCTGCTCTCTGTTTTGCAGTCTGTAGCTCAGAGCTGTAGCTGTATTTGTCCCTGAAGGTAACTACAGACAGTGAATGGATTAGAGCGTGATCTGCAGAGAGAACTTGAGGAGATTCTCTTCTGTGACCGCTTCCATCTCTCCTGCGTGCAGTGAGCAGGTTGGATGTGAATCCTCCCTTTCCCCCCACCTCAGCAACATGAAGTACCTCAGGTTTTGCAGAAGTGTCCCCTCCTTGGGGCTCACCGCATCCCCAGCAAAGCCAAGTCTTGCAAACCTAAACTGCTCTGAGCAGCTCAAGCCCAGTCCCGCTCTGCTCATTCTCAAGGCTCTTGCAGTATCTTCGATAGTTCCCCCGGTACCAGAATCTCTTAATCCAAACTGAATTTCTAATGTAAAAAGTGGAACAAAAGTATTTGTTTGACTAAATAAAGAGCCTTTAACAGTCAAGGTGGTTTTGTGGAGTCTCTGCGGACATGAAGGCACTTGGAATGGTTCCGTGTCTCAGAGTCAAATACTGCAGCTGAACTGATTTACCAACTTTAGTCACGAGAACTAGTGGGAACTGCTTGGCATTAAAGGTCTCTTCTAGTTTGTGCTCACCTGCAGACCTCAGGTCACTTTTCCTGTAACGTTTGCTCCCACGCAAAGCTGTCCATCGTAACCGGGATGTGCGGAACCTCGAGAGGAGGCTGTCGCGCCTGGATCCGTAAGCTCTGTCTCATTAAAACAAGTTCAGTGATCTCTTGGGGAGATGGTCTGTAGCGAGGCCCTTTGCGCTGTCTATGAATTGCTTTGAATCACCTAAAAATATTGACCATACGGCTCCAAACCCCCGGCTGCCAGAGAAAGGAGGTTTCTAGCTGCAGGGAAGGGAGCAGCTTCTTGCTGCTGGACGGGAGGTTTCAGACCTTCCTGCCAGGCTGCTCCGGGCAGCGGTGCTGCTTCCACCTGCGCACCGCCTGGTGCAGGTTCCTGTTCCTGTGCCACGCATAGGCCTTGTTCACCACCACCTTGTCGCTCTGCGCTTCGCCGCTCACCACGAAGAGGCCGGCGTGGGTGCCCCGCATGATGTTGTGAGCGCACGTGGCGTCGATGTCCAGCCACTGGCGGAGCCGCCCGGGGATCTCGGTGCGGAGCAGCGGGCCGTGCTTCAGCACCTCCACCTGCAAGGGGTCCAGGTCGAAGTCGGAGATGCTCGTGGTTGTGTTCTTCCTGAAGATCCTGATTTTCACCGCTTGGGGAAAAATAAAATTAAAAAAAAAAAAAAAAAAAAAGATGTGAGTTTTGTTAGTTTTGTTTACGTTTCTTAGGTCTTACCCACTTCAGCTGCCAAAACGCAACGTAGCAGGATGCTCTCTTGCTGTTCCTGTAAAGTGGTGACATCCATCTAAGTCCATGTAATTGCAGTAAATGCATAAAAGCTCTCATTTTGAGTGTTTCCAGCACTGAAAACTATTTTATTTTTGCTCCACTTCTCATGAGGATGGAGA